GGGAAAGAATCTTAACAAAAGACTACAAATACAATAGAGGTAATATTTTATAACAGATTGTGACACTGTTATTTTCTTACTGCTGCTCACGCTGTAGACGTTGTTGGAATGCAATCGCCAAGTGAAGTAAAAATCGTTCCAACGAATAAGTCCACCGGCCGCCGTTAGAAGGATGATAATATCTACAGCATTTAAATTATCAGGAATCATTAAGCAGAATGGCCATGAACTTGAATTTGGAAAACAAAATCAAAGAAAAAATAGTCATAAGTGAAAGAAAACACACTGCTCTAGAAGGTTGACCAATTTCTTAAACTGCTCTTGTGCCGAACTTCCTGGTTTCAGAAGGTATACCTAAAACAGAAGTTGAAAAGAATACCACAAAAGGGTATTATTAGCCAGAGATAGCAGAAGAATGCAGAGATTTGCAAATCTAAGGTCATCTTACAATAGATTTCGCAATTGATTTTGCTGGGTTTGCAGTCCTGTTAGAGAATAAGAATCGTGTATTTCTGGGAACATCAACTGAGAAAGGATACGATCCATTTCCACTTGCAACAGGAACCTAAAACACCACATGAATTACATGTAAGATCACTGCAGTTTTGAAGGTAGATAAGTAAATATGTCCAGCTGCTTTGGAGGCCCACTAATTCAGTTTACTTCAGTTATTTCTGAGCATTTAGTAAGAACAAGCAAAAATATTTCCTCAAACTAAATTTTATAAGAAAGTTCTACAGTGTCGGGAGCAGAACTCATCAGACTAACCACTAACAACAACTGAAGAACTTCACTCACCTCAAACATATTCAAGAACCTACTGAAAAGCGTAGGCAAGAAACGCTCCCAATTAACAAAGTGGTAGGTTTTTATCACACGGGCTAACACAGCCGTCCATTGGCTATTCCAGAATTGACAATTCGGTATTGTATCCCAGAGTTCTAGACAGTTGCTGATCCATTCCCTACGATGTCAACAGAAGAGATAAAGGAGTTCAGTTTTATAAAGAATAGGAGAAAACCGAAACATCAGTTATACCTAAACATATTCTGCCCTTACTCAGAGAAGAAATCCTGGTTCTCAGGGTTGGTAGGAAGGAACAATCTCACAAAGCCAGACCCCTCGAACGATGAATTGTGCCATGGATTTTCCAGAAGAGACCTACAAATAGATAGAAGAATGTCTTCAAAGCGAGCAGCGCAACTGTAATTTTATTTGGACTCTAATTGCAGCCAAGAATCCAGCTAAACATATTATCATTTGAGCAGACAAAGTGAATGAATTTCCCTTCCTTCTTCCAAATTATCACTAAGCCGAAACAAAAACTGTGTATAAATGCAGTGCCTTCCCATTCAGAAACACTAGATGGATTCAAACATCTCAAATGTAAACAACATACCTAAACTCGGACCATATTTCAGATGCAGCACCTTGCGGGAAAAACCTCCTACAGGATCGAACAAGAGAAGTAACAGTCTCGAAGTGTCGTTGTCTCAGCCTCCATCCCTCAGGGCCAGTGCTTCTATAAAAGAGAAAATTTTCAAAACAGTAGAACTTGAAGCAAAACCAAGATAACGGACATGAACTACAAAGAAGGTCAGTGCATTGACCTTTTGTCCAAAAGTCCACGAAAATTAAAACCTCTAGTCGTTTCTGAAAAAGAGGACCCACCTATCTATATTCGAAACACAAAAGAGGACTCACCTGCTAAAGTGTGTATGGATCAAAGTATCATACAAGGGCCTCCACTGAACTTTCAAAGTCAGCTTCTTACGATACTTGTTCAGCAATCTGACTAGGGCATTACCCCATCTAACCTATTCACCAGAGCCAAAATCATTCCCAAGGTAAGCGACAAAAGTATGAAAAACAAAAGGGTCTCAAAAGAAAATGAGAGCAAGAAACTAGAGTGTGTTCGTGGTATTCAATCCCCCAACCTGCGCATACAGCTTGTTCTGCGATGAATGAAACAGTTGGAACCCAATTTCCACAAGTTCACTAACATCGTCCACAGATAATTCACTTTTGGCTCTGACAAAGCTGAAATAAATAAAAATGTTGTCAGACTCTGGATCACGTAGTCCACAACCCAGTGCAGCATACTGTGACCTGAGTATACTGTACACCAGCTCATAACCAACTGAAGAATTTTATTGCAATACAGCGAAAATTACAGGAGGCAATTCATTTCATTTTCAGCAATAACCTCTAGAATAATCTAATGATTTTCGTGTAAATAGCCATCCCACAAATAATACAACATTAAAATAGAATACTCCATAGGTGTCTACGAGGTGAACAGGAAGAAAATCTAAGCACAGAAAGAGGAACAAGAAGATCCAAGAATTCTGGAATCTAGCCATATCCCTAATTGTGAACAAGGATAAGAACAAGAGACAACCAAGATCATAAAGAGGCAAACAAAAAGAACCCCAAAAACCCTGAAACCAATTTCAGTAGACTAAGGCGAGTCCGAGAGCTCGCAGAAAACAGCTCTCTATGTCATTACCGAACTAGTTCGAATTCCAAGAACAACCTAACAATTCGACAACAACACCCCAGAAAGAACACGAGGAAAAGACAGCCAACGGTTTCAACACGTCAGTGTTGTCTGAATCGGACAACGGAGACTAAAATCAGGGCAAGAATCGGAACTCACAGATCGATGACGGAGATCCATTTGAGAGTAGCGTAAACGGACTCGGAATCATCGGCTCGGTACAATTCCTTGACGCATCTCACGACCCGAGCGAACGATTCCTTCTCCTTCTTCGTCTCCACCGCCACAGGCGGCGGCAACCACCCGTTATACAGATGCATCTAACTATTCTTCTTCTCTTTCGTTCTTCTTCGTCTTCGTCTACTCTTTCGCCCTCTACCCGATTTTCTGCAGAGATTTTCTGTGACGGTGAATATATATAGCTGCTTTTCTTTTTCCTCTGGTTTTCTTTCCAAGCAAGAAAAATCGCAGGGAGAAAAATATCAAAAAAACACAATAGTGTGAAACAAACTGGCATTTTGTTTTATTTAAAAAAACCATTTTTGTCTGACTTTGCCGTTGACTGGTTAATGGGTTGATGGAGAGACACCACTTCAGACACAGGCTTCTAGCTTAGTCCTGTTTTATTGTTTATTACAACCTAACTCCTTTGCAAACTTAGTTAAATTCGATTTAGCCCCATACTTCTGAAAACTACAGTTTAGTCCTCTTCTACTGTTAACCCCAAACGATTCCCGTTTCTCTGTCACGTGATACAAAGATGTTTATTGCAGACGACTTGAGAGATGACACGAAACTTCTAAAGAGAGATGTATAAAATGTTTTGGGACACATCTTTTTAATTAGATCCACATGTTGTGAGTGGATTCATACTAACGGTATGGATGTAAAACCTAATTTATATAAACATTAGTTTTATTTTATGGGTTTTCCGTAAAAAAAATATTTATATTATATATATATTCGATCATATTCTCTCTTTTTTTTTTCTACATCAGCCAGCCAATACATATGTATGTATGGAAAGGGTACATGAAATGAGTTGTAAGTTGGGTTAGGTAATAAAAGCAAATGAGACAGCATTAATGAAGAAGGTGAAGAGGACGTGAGGGGGCTGATGACGACATCCAAATATGTGGCTTCTGTCTGTGTGTTTGTCCCTCTGAGATTCCTTTTGATTTCCTTTCATTTCGTGTTCCTCTGTTTCTGAGTTTTAAAATTTGGCTACAAATCAACAAGTCGTTGTAGTATAGTGGTGAGTATTCCCGCCTGTCACGCGGGTGACCCGGGTTCGATCCCCGGCAACGGCGTTCATTTTCAAATTATTGTTTTCATTTTTTTTCTAAATTTAAAAAGTGAATGGGCCGAAGGCCCTTAAAATCGTAGTGTTTCGTATGGTACCCATGAATCTAACAAGTGGGCCATACTCTGACCCATTTTTTACTGAACATTTGCTCGAGTTTTTCACCCTCATTTTGTCAAATATCCACACACCCAGTAACTCTTTTTTACACGTTCTAAAATTTTATTTACCATATTTCATTCATTTTTTATGCAGAAAAAACGAAATGAATTATGCATTTTTTACCTTCGTATTTCAGACACGAACAAACGCAGTAAGTTTACTTGTGAAAAAGGCGTGAACCCAAACACACTTGGAAAAAAACATACCCAAAAATCGAGTGATGTTATGCTGAGTGTTGTGTGATATGCATGTGTATTGGTGGTCCTACTAGGTAACCACATCATGGAGAAATGCACGTGGTTTAGGGTAACTAAAAACGACAAGAAGTTACACCCGTCGTCTGCTGAACGGATGCATGTTCTCTCTCGATCGTGTACGATACCTCCAGATTATGCGAGGTGGAGTCCACAGGTACAGAAAGAAGGCAGGAGGAACTAAAACGACACGTCGTTGTTAGACCGGCCGGTTGGTCCAGTAAAAGAGGCAAACAGTAAATACTTGTTTTTTTTTTTTTACCTGCAGAGCGGCGTGGGCCCATTTGAGCTCACATTTTAGGGTCCATTTCATAAATTCCTCGATAATAATTTTCGTAGGGTTGGGAGAATGGAGCAGTAGAATTAAATACTTTCTTTTTACGTGTAAATGAACTATTTATAAAGTTATATTTCTAAAATTCGAATGAAAAAACTCAGCATAATTTCATCATATATATAATAGAGAGAGAGAGAGAGAGATTGGTAGCTTATTTTAGAAATTTAGATTAATAAAAATAATAAAAAAATTATTTATACTAAATCATATAAAATTAATGAAAATAAGTATTCATTTTATATATGTCCTGCAATTAAACCCATATAACGTATTCTATTTTATATTGTATCATTTGTGTTTTCGATAATAAATTTTCAAATATATCATCTTTATATATATATATATAATGTGGGAACTCGTTGTATCTCTCAACGCAGAGACATATCGCACATGCACGTTTTCATTTAATTACATAAAAAGTCGCATCGGATTTATCAAATGAATCACGGGAAAACAGGTCAAACTAATACAAAAGGGGAAAAAAAGGTGAGAGTTGACCCATGCAAAAAAAAAAAGAGTGTCAGATTTGCTCTGAAAGAAAATATTATTCATAATTTAATAACACCATACTATTATTATTATTATTATTACTAACAAATACATTTATAACTATTATTCACCAACTCTTCGCTGAACAGAATATTAAAGATAAGGTAGTGATGAAACCATATATTATATTTCATTTGAAAAAATATAAAAATAGAATAATATGTATGTCTAAATTTATTCTATGTATTAAAAGAAAGTAACGAGAGGGAAAATAAAAGTAATGGGAGAATATAAAGGTATCTAAATATATGTGTGTCACCGACACTTGCAAAAAACGATATATGATTTTTGGGGGTTTTATTTAATAAATGTAACATACACACACATATATATATAATACGTAAGCAGATATATAAGGAATTAAAAAAAAAAAAAATTGGTGGAGCGAAAACGACCAATAACTGCGGAATTTTTGGGGCTTTGGTCTCGTAGATACATTATTATGGCAGTCTCTGCGATTGAGAAAGTGACCTTTCCTTACAACCCTTTTTTTTAATTTGTATTTCTTTTATTTCTCCTTCCTGTATTATTATTAGTTTGTTTATTCAATTTAATGTATTTTTATTACGTAATTCTATCATTCTTCTTTTTTTATTTCTTTTTCTTTTTGGACTGCAAAATGGAGATTTTCATCTTCTTCTTTGTCCATAATACTGTCAAGTTGCTCTCAGCCGGGATTCGCTTCCTTGCACCCAAATCTCCTCACTTATTTTTTTGTTAAAATGCATCTATGTATAATATATATGGCAATATATTATATCTTTACTCTTTAAATTTATATTTTAATCTATCTATCTATATAATCTCCATGCATTTCTACATCTATACAATACATGTGCATGTTTACACAATCACACATTTATACACAATCATTTATTCATATATATAGAAAACAACAGCAATAATAATAATAATAATAAATGTAAATAGTTAATGATATATAGTCATTTTTTAATATAAAAAAACATTAAATTATTATTTATTTATTTTTTTGATAACAACATTAAATTATTTTCACTCGAATTTTTGTCGGGGCGCCATTGAAGACTGAAGCGAGAGGAAATGTCAAATGATGAAGTGATGATGCATTTCATGGGCATTGGAAACACGGTGAAAAAAAAAATCGAGATTAAAAAAACAAAGTTAAATAAAATGATTTTACAATGATTTTTTTTTCTGCATTTAATTTGTTCTATATTGTTGTTAGTGGGGGACATGGTAATGTTCTATCCGACGGGACCAGTCGCAGTTAATGCTGGACCAGAGCAGTGCCAATTTGTAATCTACGTACAGAAAATGGTGGTAGAAAAACGAACCAAATAAACCTAATTAATTACATAATCATAATCTAGCAAATATATTTTAAATATAATGATTATATGAACTTGATTTTTTATTTATTTTCAGAGGGTAATTTCTTTTTGAAAAAGAAACTCTGAGGCATGCAGAAGGTTACGGTTATTGTAGATTGCCGTCCATGTGTCAGTGCATGCGGTTTCTGAAAAAAAAAACACATTCAATAAATCATTTTAACTGTTTTGTAATAAATATTTTATTAAATGTCAGGATTGTTTTGTGCAATTTCCACATAAAAAAAAAATTCACATGGCATCTTTAAATATGGTAGACTATTCATGCTAAAAACACAAAATGCTTTTTTTTAATAAAAAACTATATATGATTCTCATCTAAATAATTATATTGATAAGTAAAAATTGCCACGTATATAAAACAATGATAAAAATAATAATCTGCACTCAGACGCATATCTATTTGGGAAAATCTAAAAGCATGCATTCTCTCTATAAATTATATATATTAGTTAATGTTAGTGCAATTATTTGCATATGTGTTGTTTGGTTGTTAAGTGGTTATTGCAGGTTCAACAGACTTGAGAGATTTCAGGAGAGATTTCAGGAGAAGAATCCGGCGAGATAGAACTCACGCAAATCTGAGGTACAACTGACGAGTTTGAGATAAAGTCAAAGACTAAGAGATTGAGATGGACTCAATGTCAACCACTTGGAGAGATTTTAGGAAAAGCAATCTGAAGAGATAGAGCTACGAAGTTAAGCCACGAAGTTTGGAATTGACTTGAAGAGATAAAGATAGAATCAAAGCCAAGAAGATTTGAGGAGATTTGAGATAAAGATAAGATCTTGGAGATAAGGTCAAAGGCTGAAGAGATAGAGTCAAACAAGAGATAAAGATGAGATCTTGAAGATAAAGATGAAATCAAAGAAAATCAAGGAGGAGTCTATCAAATCAATTCGTGGAGATCTAAGGCGAACTGGAGGAGCCTATATAAAGGAGAGAGCAAGTGCATATCAGTTCTCACGGAGAGCAAAGCATATTTGACTAAAAGAGAGTCTTTTTGTTAGTGAGTGAGCACTCACTTTTGAGTGAGTGTGGGTTTGAGAGAGAGACCGATTGGGCAAATCTCTTTTCTCTGGTGAGTGTTTGGGCGTGGATCTGAGGGGGAGACCTAATGGAAAAATCTCTATTCCTTTGGTGAGCGTTTGGGTTGGGTAAGGTTTTTAATCGGTAGAATTCATTGTGAGAGTGAGTTGAAACTCAAGGGGAGTTTCATCTGGGTGTTGAGTAGCTCTAACAAAAAGTGAGTTGTACTTGACAGTTTTCTCAAGTGAATAGAACTGGTTAGTTTTTCCGTTTTACTCTTTGAGGGTCCAAACTTCTTCAATTGGTATCAGAGCT